TTCCTCATTAGCTTTGATATCACAGTGCCATCTACTTGATCAACAGAGTCAGCTTATTTTTCCTTAGAAAATACCTGCGTGGCTGTAACCCTGAAGAAATCAAAGGGCTGCTCGATTTCTTTGCCAGTTCCCGTCCCTTCTGTGCTTCCTCACCCTTTCAAAGCCTCACTGCCCTTAGGTGTGCACCTCTTGGGAGCCTGCCTGGCTCCCGGACTGTTTCACAGGCTGACATAAAGCCCTGGCCTGACAAGGATGGATCCACTGGCGCTGAGAGGACAATTCAAGCCCTTGCTGACCCTTTTCTCAGCATTCCCGCTCTTCTCCGGCAGATGTTTCGTCTGAGAGCTGGGTTCCTCTCTGTAGGCAGAAAGAGCACCAGCCTTTTGCGTGTGTAAGTGAGGCAGAGGCTTTGTTCGGAGTCAGAAAGCAGCGCAGCAGTCAGAGGAGAGGGGTCGCATAACCTGATAGCTTGAGCTGTCCCTTCTCACGAATATCCACAGCATAGCCTGAGCCCCAGCAGGCATATGCTTTATTAGTTTTGCCTACAAATATTTAGACAAGAAACACTACAGACAGGGCTAAAAGAAATTATCGCTCTGCCCTTGCTTCTAAAGGCCTGTTTCTCTACAGGAATCACCAGTCTGGCAAGATCAACAGTAGGAGGGAAGGTGACACTGCTACACTCAGTCAGTTTTCACCTACAAGACAGGTTTTTTTGTCTTCTTTTACTATTGCAAGGTGTTTGAAGTTAGGTTGGTTTTTTCTGTGTGTATTTCAAAGTAATTTTGATTCATTCATTCTGAAAAATTAACGTGTAGGCTCCCGTTTTACCGGTTCTTAAGGCTTCTCTTTTTATTGCTTTTATCTTCACCTGTCACTCTGTTCTTATCTTACCACTCTAGCTATAAACAGGTAGGGTGTGCATACTAGCAACTTTCCAGTGCTCAAAGTCCTCAGTGGGCCTTATATGTGATCGTTCTTATTGAAGCCTCAACTTTTTGTCCCGCAGAAGACATCTTTGCTATGACTTGTGTACACAGGCAGAGTGACAAGCGATAGGAGTTTGCTTTTAGAGACACCTAGGCTTCCTTGTATGGCGGCAAGGAGCTGTAGAGGTGTCTGTGCTCTCTGCTGTCATGCTCCACCTGTGAGGAGGGTAGGACAGCTTTCTGCAGCAGTATCGTGTACCTGCTTCTCCACTGCCTGATGTGTATAATTGCTTTACATGGGCGAAATTGGTGCTGGCTGGTGAAGTCACTCTGTAGCTGCACATTGAGGCTGCCTTTTTGCATAGTGGCTGTGCTGGCCAGTGCAGTGAAGAAACTTGAAAATGGCAATCTCAGTCTGGTGCCATTGCTGCAGGACTCCAGCAGCGGTCTGTGCCTCTGCTCAGAGTGAACAGGCACGGTAGTCAACCCCACATCAGCATTTTTCATGTATGCTCTGGGATACTAAATTATAAAGAAATCTTCTGTAACAGCTGTGAGGTATTTCAAGAATACAAAGAACTGTTTGCTTACTTAATGGCCATCAGTCTTGATGGTGCTCCCAGTTCATTTATAGCTTAGGACTGAGATAAAGGTTAGCATTGAGCGTATAACAATAAGCTTTTATATGGGTCTAATACAGTTGCTTGGGAACACAATGCCAGTATTTTCCACGTTGACACCAGCACCTGTTCTGTCTCTTAAGCAGGGTGGCTTCCATGCAAATAACTCCTATGTGAGTGCTCACATCAACTGGATTCCCATTTACTTTGTAGAATTAAATGAGCACAGCATAAAGCGGTTAAAGAGATTTTCACATTAATTGTAAAAAGTGCATTTTGTCTGTGTAGATTCCCTCTTGTCTTATGGATGAGTGACTTTGATACTACTTGACTATCAGTTATTACCAGGTCCAGAAGGGAGCGAGAATAATTTGGAAATTGAGAGATGGTTTCTCATGCTATTGCAAGCAGCAGCTGAAGTCAGGCACATGCAGTTCTGACTGTGCTTTCTGTGGCATTTTATTGTAGTCCAGGTAAAGTGCAGCAAACAGTAGTAAGAGTTTGTAGGGATATCTTGCTCAGATGTGCATCGGATTGTTTTTACATATTCCTCCTACTGAGTGCACTGGCATGGACCATGAGTGTAAAATAATAATTGGATTTAGTGAGACAATGGATAAACCAGGATGTGTCTCAAACCTCCCTCCCTCCAGAGGGGATAGGGAAACCACCCATCCTGAATGCATCCGCCTCACTTGGAGTATTAGGAAAGACATGTTATTTTCAGTCTTCTCCATGCTGAGTGGCACAAAGGAGATCTTTTGAGGTTGCAGAAAGTACACATCAACATTTCCCAACTGCGGTGTAGGCTAGCTCTGGGCTCCTGGCTGCCTCAGAAATAGTGCTGCCAGCTAAGCTAGGTAAACCATTGCAAGCACACAGGCAGCGGCTTTCATGCAACTGTTCCCCTGCTGAAGGAACACATACCTTTTCACACCCTGTGACTGAGCTGAGAAGGAAGAGGAAGACAGATTTGCATGTGGGTAGATTGCTGTCGTAATAAACACCTGAGCAAACTTTACTGTATCCTATCTTGGCTGTACCTCTGTGTATGAGGCAGAGAGCCTGCAAACCCAAGAATTTTGTAAAGTTTGTTCTTCTACCTCTACCTAGCCAAAATATATTCCCCAGTTCTCCTCCAAACCATATTGATTTAAATAAATATAATGAATTCTCATACAAATGATGAGACCCGTGTCTTCCAAAAAGCACAATGCCTTAGAATCCTGGCTGAGGGAAGTACCTTCTCTGGGCAATGCTGGCTTAAGCAACCATCAGCCCTACCCCCAGCTGCTCACATGTGCCCCTGCATTATTCCCTGCCTCTTGCTGCCACAACTGCTGGCGTAGCTGGGTGATGAACTACACAGGAGCAGAGATCCAGATGGAAAACAGCCCAGGGGAAAGAGGAAAGGGAGATTTCAGCCAGATCAGCTCCTCCATCTCCTCTCAAATATGGGTGTTTACACCCTGCAGCAATAGTGGGAACAGAATTATCCAGGGAGGGTGGGCAGTCAGGGTGGTGACTCTTTAAACCAGTTTTACCACCCTCCCTGAATGCCAAGCCATTGCTTAAAAAAAAACCAAAACACAATAAAACAACCCAGGAAGTCCCCAGTGTAAGGAGATGAGGTGGTTGATATCCCTCAACTCCCACCTTAATCTGTTTACTTGGTGCTGGGTCTTTGACGCTTGTCACAAGGGTGTCACCCATCTCTCCCTGCTGTCACCACTGCTCTGCCTTTCAAGGAACTTTTGTGGTCTGAGTTGCAAAACAAAGAGTTTCTTGGGGAATATCAAAGAGGAGGCAAGACGTAACACACGAATTGCCTACGTAATACGTGACTTCTCTGTGTGAGTACAAAGTCTTCCCAGTATTCCTCTTGTCGCTTTATTCCTCTGCCAGGCTGTGTTTGGGCTGGACACTTTGTGCAGCACTGGCACAGTGCTGCAATTTGACGTAGCAAATTGCTTAACAGTTTCATAACATTTTCCTTTCATTGTGGGGCAGGAATGAGGGGCTTTGATTAGGAGGTTGCATCACAGGACCAGCTTCTTCAAGAAAAAAGTTGGAAACGAGGTTACACTATTACATCGCATCCCCGCTTGTTGTTTTTTACTACACAGTCCTTCGGGGACGAAGTGTGGTGATGCTAAAGCAATACTCTCCGCCAGCCTATGTCAGAGGCACTTTAGTTGTGTCCCCCAGCAGATGCTGTGGCAATGAGCTTACGTGAGGCTGACACCGATTAGGCTGCAGCACGGGACTCCTGCCAGGCGTTTCCTAGGGCAGGGGGGGCCGCAGGGGGTGGATATCACAGCATCGGCAGTGATTGCTCCTGATGGCTGTTGGGGCTCTTCCCAGGATAAGTCCGGTCCAAGCTTAGATGCCAGCAGCTCCTGCTGTTTTAACATGAGCTTGATTAGACCAGCGCTACAGAGGATCACTAGACAGTGCATGTGTGCCAGAGGCCATTGCTGGCAGACAGGATAATCAGATCTCTTCCAGAGGCCTGTCCAGAGGTATTACAAGCAGGTTTTTTGGTGTTCACTTCCCTGGCCATCAGAGCATGGTGATTTGTTACAACAGTCTCCATGGGTGCTCGGCAGGCTTTTGTGTCAGCTCTCTGTGTGTAGTGCACAGCAGGACAGAGCCTGGTTTGAAACAAGTGTCAGCTCCACGCTGCTTCCCACCTCCCAGAGGGGTTTTCACCCCTTTCTCAGCACTTTTCTTCATTGTCCCCAGGGGATCTATCTCCCTCCAAACCTGTAAATCAGGAGTTTCCAGCCTAAAGGTTACACCTCTCAGTAGGGTTGGGACCTCACAGGTGCAATTTGCTACCTGAGGGCTTGGGGTCCTGCCCAGGCTGCCAGCTGGGCACTGGCCCTGGGGAAGGAGAAGGGTCGAGGGTCGGGAGGGTGGCTGGGCTCTGCTTCCCGTTCATCTCGCCTCCTGCTTCCCCGCTGCCCCGGGCAGCGCAGAGAGGGAAGGGGTCGGG